AGTCAATATAGGTAAATGAAGGCAAACCACCAGACATTACTAGAAACAGCATTTATGTGATGCTATTTCCAATAACAATAAACATTTAAAATGTACTATGTTTGCTAACTTTATATTTATTCATGTGACGTAAACTATGTCGCATTTTCTTTAATTTTTTTATTATTTGATAAAGGACTTTTGTTTTACAAAGATATGCCAGTCCTATTGTACCTACATTATTATTCTGTGCTATTATTAAATACTATTTACAGGGTCTACGACTGATTACCACACAACATACTAGCCGACTCCGAAGTAGGTTCCCTCAGAATACTCTGAAAGATATCAACCCCAAGCCAGCCTACATATACCTAATGTGAAACTGATCTTTACTGGATGGATTTCGAATTACGTTATAATAAGTGTTAACTGACTGTGGAGAGAGTTTGATAATCCTTTTGTAAGTGTGGCCGACCTCAAGCACGTCCTTAACAAAGGGTCACTACCTATATATTTTTTTAAAGATTATTAATATTTGTATTGCACAAATTAATAGTAGTCCCGTTAGCCCCTCGTACTAAGCTAAATATGCTTGTGTCAGGAGTGGGCTCACCACAACAGTCGAGCAGCGGTGGGATTCGAACCCGCGTTCCTCGGATCGGTGACTTCAAATATTACTACCAATGTTCTTGTGATATAAGAAATCAAAATCAATGTTAGTATCGCATTTCAGATAGACCAGTGCGACCGTCTATGGGTGATGGACGCGGGCAAAATCGGCGACCTCCAGTACTGCCCGCCACAGTTGCTCGCCTTCGACCTTAACACCGACCAACTGATCTACAGACACGTCGTCAACGCCTCCAACTACATCGGAACATCACTGTTTATCACTCCAGTAAGTAAAGTTTGAGCTTGTTAGTGAGTTGCCGGCAATTGAGAGCAACGAACTCTTCTGTTTTTCCGTAACTTTAATTTAAAAATTGACAGAATGGAACCAAATCTGAGTTTATAAAAGAATTTAAAAAATATTAAAATATAGACTCGTAAGCAGAATACTAAGTACTTAAGGAACCTAAAAAAAGAGTGTTACATCTCAAGGGTTTTATTTTAGAACTTAATTGTGTTGATACATGCTCGCCTTGTGTATTTGATAAACATATTTTAATTACCTATTGCCTAATTAACGTGATTAATTCATTTTTCAGGTGGTCGACGTCAGAGGTACTGCGGGTAACTGCCAAGACACTTTTGTATACATCGCCGATGTATCTGGCTTCGGAATGCTGGTGGTCGATGTGGCCAACGACCGCTCGTGGAGGGTCACGCACAGGCTGATGTTCCCCTACCCTTCACACGGCACCTTTACTATTGACGGTGAGTTAAAATTAGCTAGTTGAAGTTTGCCTATTTGACACCCTGGTGACAGTACTCGAAGCAAGTTTTTTAGTTATCTAAAAACAGAATCTGTCCTAAACCGAATAAGCCTCCGATCGAAGAGGAGAAATCAAATTAGAATTTCTTCATTGGTGTAGGCTGCTGCAATCCAGGTACTTTTTTGGCCAAAAAGGTTCTGGAAAAGCTTGGTTGGACCTATTGCGAAAACCTGTCTGTTTATAAATTTACTTTTTTGGTGGATTAAAAATGACTTGAACTCAAAATGACCAGCAATATCAATTTGTTTCAGGTGAAAGCTTTGACCTGATGGACGGTATTTTGGGTATGGCCCTGTCACCGTACCGCGAGGGACGAGACCGTTATCTATACTTCCACGCACTGGCTTCTATTACTGAAAATGTAGTGCGTACAAAAGTACTCAGGAATGACTCCTTCATTCACGACGTCAATGCTGCTCCAGATTCAATTAATGTAAGTATAATATTAGGCACATAATTATTACAGCTTTTAAACTCCAACGAACACAGAATTAAACTTTTTTTTATATTTTTTTATAAAATTGCAGGTGTTCCCTGATGAGCGACCAAATCAGTCAGCAGCCGAGGCCATGGACGATAATGGTATCCTGTACTTCGGTCTGATGGATCCGCCAAGTATTTGGTGTTGGAACTCCGCTACCCGATTTGAACCACGAAACTTCCACAAAGTCGCTGTGAACCAGGAAACCTTACAGTTTGCTAGCGGAGTCAAAGTAGTCAAAAACCTCAAGGGAGAACAAGAATTGTGGGTCCTAACATCTAGTTTCCAGAGAGTAATGACAGGAACTCTCGACAGTAGTAGAGTAAACTTCAGAATTCACGCAGAAAAGATCCCAACATTATTAGCAAACTCCCCCTGTGGAAATCCCCCAAAGGGGTACAAGCATGGATACCATGCCAACCAAATTATTCCGAGCGGCGGATATCATCATGGACCACACAGGTATGGCGCTGTATCGTATCTTTAGAGATCCGCGCTTTATCTGACCACATGTTAAGTGGACTGACTTGGTACAACTGGCCATAAGACTTTATTACATACAAATAAATATAATTTATTTCAAGAAAGTTGAGACTTTTTATTTAATTAAAATTTCGTCACCCTTCCCTGCAAGCAGCTGCAAGCTTATGTAACCTTGAATTAAAAGTAAAATATTAAAAAAATCCCACCGCACCAGCAAGTATGATTGTTTGTAATAAAATAGAAAAACAATTTAAAAAAATATATATAATGAACTCCAGAAAAAATGTATGCAACTGAAAATAATAATTTAGAGGGATTGCTTCAAAATGTCTGTATACATTTGAATTTTCCTTGAAATGCTCATGTCGATGTGTTTATCTTCTACTCCGACAATCATGCCTCCTATGATAGAGGGGTCTACTTTTTCTGTCAGTTGTATTTTCTTGCCACCTTTGACGAATTTATTGAGAGCATCCATGAGAGCAGTGCGGGTTGATCCGTCAAGGGGTTTAGCGGTGATCACCTCACACAGGGCCTCGTTCCTATGGGCCACCATCACAGCCAGGAACATGTTGACCATGCGCCGCAACAATTTCAAGCGTCCGTTCTCTGCTACTATGGATAGGAAATTCACAGCAGCTGGAGGCATACCTTTGTAGAACAAAAAGGTTTACTAGTATTAAAAATAACTACTTTAGTTTCAATAAATATCATACAGGGAAGCATAAAAAGACTAATACGGTAGAAGCTAAAACTTTGGTATCATAATTAATAGGTGGCTAAGAAAAATACGATACATTTGAACAGGAATTGTGACTACTTTACCAGCTTTTGCCCCAACTTCTTCCAGTAGCTTTGCTTTAGCAGCCCTAGAAATGACGCTTGTTTCTATGAAGTCCAACATCGCTGGTTTGCGGAGTTCTCCTTGAAGGGCTCGTAGGTGTTTCTCTACGTCTTCGACCTGCTTCATTTGGAGAGCTGCGCTGTACAGCGCTGACACATAGCGCCCTTCGATACCTAAAATAATGTTTTTTGTAACAGCCAATTAATTGTAACACTCAGTTGTAACATTCAGTTACCATGTATTTTTATTTTTTTATTTTATCTTTATTAAAGAAACATACAGCCTTGTTTGACACATGCAGCTTAAAATTAAGTGGGTTATACATTGGCCTTTAAAGTTTCTAAAGCTAGGTTGTGCAGTCAAAGTTGAAAAGGAGACAGATGTGAAGCATAATTTATGCATGCAAAAGAAAATATTAACATTAAAACATTATAAAAAATTTACATGGATACGCTAAAGATCAAGTAGATTGAAGGAGACGGCGAAACTTCACAATGCGTTCATGAAAGATGTCTAAATGACAAAATGCTGTATTATATTTTGTTAGTGGCTCTAATGATGAAACTATTTTTACGATAATTTGATCTACAAATGGGTATACTAAAAGTGTTCCTGTGTCTGACTCGCGGCTTTATACATTTAAAGGCTAATTTACTTAATAAATAAGGACTATCAACCACTCATTTATTAAATGATCTTAAATAAAAATATTTGATCTCTGTGTTCACGGCGGCATGCCAATGATTGAAGCTTTTCCGAGCTGAAATTTTTAAACCTATACTTCAGACGTCTCACAAATTTTGCTTGAATGCCCTCTAAGAGGTTAATGTATTTTAGGTACTGGGGATTCCACACAACCGAAGCATATTCCAGCTGAGATCTTACATAGGCATTGTAAAGTAATATTACGGTGTTCACATTTTTAAAGTCTGTATGTAAATTGTTAACTGAGAATGTACTTAAAATGTTGGCGGTATAGGAATTTGCTATGATTTTTCTTTTGTTACTAAGAGCATGAATTGCTGTTTCTTGATTTCAGGCGTTTTTTAGACTAAGCGCCTGAAAATTGAAATGATAATATGAATAATGAACCTCATTTAATGATAAACTAAGATTAAGTTGTAATATTATTATTGAAATGTAAAAATATAGGTTCAGAGAGGTTCAATGGATGAGGTTGGTTAAAATAATAACAGACAAAAGGCTATGAGAGATCAAAAATCAAAATTAACATTGCTAAAGCTTGTGCAATTTGCCTCACAATAAGGATAACACTTTTTTGGCGATAAGGTCATGCTGTATGAATGACGGCCGTAAAAAATGTGTACTTACCAAAAACTGGTATAGGCGGTTTGGTACCCAGGGAAGTTTGGCACATGTTCCTCAGACATAATCGAATAACACTCACATACGTAGTATAATTGGTGCGAAACATAATGTTAATTTTCAATTATTTATTGGAGCAACAAGTAAATTTCTCGAGATGACATTGTTTGACAAAGGTTTGTTGAAAGATATGTGACGTAAACGCACAATAAGGTTTGTTATTTAGCGGTTTTATGTAATGAAGATATAAAAATAGTTTTGGTGGTGTAGTGACCAGCCAGCTGTGACCAGTTATGCTGGTCTTACTAAGCTATCAACTCAAAGGATTGAAAACGAAAAAGTTAGCTGAAACAGCTTTATTCTGAATCGTTAGAAATATTAAATCCTAATAGAAAGAAATGAAACAACAGCCACAATAAAATTAACAATTAAATTAGACTCATAACTATTCATTGCTTAGAAGGCTACATTAAATTGCTTGTTAATATAAAACTAGTCGAGAACGTCATATTGAAACGCCTGGTCAGTCTCCAGCAGCGCTCGGGTGTAAATCACTAGCGATCCTAGCGCCATCGCCGACGTCAGCGAATTGCAGGTGCCGCCTTCTGAAGTAGCTGCCTTTTTCACGCGGTACTCCTCCTGTAAAAAGGATGATTAATTCAACTAATGGAGTACATCTTAAACTTGATGAAAAGATTTAGTTTAATTAAGATTTTAGAACAAAAATCTTAATTAAACTAATTCTCGGGCACTTTGAATAAAAACAAGCTCGGGCATGACAACCTACTGTTTGATATAGAATTACCTATATCAGCATAAAACATTACTAATAATTGATTAGATTAATTATCCCATTTTTAATAAGAATAAATATTAATATTCAAATTACCTAAAATAAAATATTTTAAGGGTTGTTAACGCGTTGATGTCTAATACTAGTAGACATTTTCAAAAATCTTGGGGGTCATGCTGACTGCTTTTTTTGCAATTGAGTGTACTAAATACTACCTTGCAAGTACCTATCGAAATGTTTCAACAGTAAAAGTAACTCAATACGTGCTTTGATAAGTCAAGTGAACAATTTAGTTTGCATTTACGTAACCAACAATAACAACGGATGTATTATTCGAAATGGTTGGGTATCTTGTTTATTAATCTTTGCAAATAATTCCATCAACATTACTCAGAACTGAAGTTTGCAACATCATACCTCTCGCTCCTTCGGTGGGGAGGCAGAGGCAGGACCTATGAAACCTGTCAATCTGAGAAAAGGTTGTCGATCATCTGCATAACATCCTTTGGGTTCCTGCCAAGCCATTATCTTGTTCATCCATCGAGGTTTTATGAATTCTCCGTAACCTTGAGATGCGCAGTATAAAACTAGAAACAAATTAATATTAGGCAGGTTACATAAATTTTGTGAAACTTTGCATAATTGCAAGGTTTTATATTTGACTTACTTTGCTGCATAAAAAGAGTTCTTGTGCCAGCGGGGTGGTCCCACGCCTCTAACGATTTGGTTTCTTTGTATATTTGAATGCAGAGCTTGTAAATGTGAGCAGAGAGGTCTGTGCCTTCCATGCAGTCGAAGAGACGAGCTAAAGTTGCCGCGCGGACACGGCTAGTCTGCTGGAATGCCAGTCCTGACCCTTTTATGAGCTGCGCGCTGCATTCCGGTGTCAACTCGCATGTGCCTTCAGATTGCGTCGTTTGCGTCTCCATTGCCGAAATTAGCAGTTGCATAGTGCACGCATCTGCAAGTATTTGTAGGTAAATTTGGTTCCGAACAAAAAAAAAAACAGCTTTCACTTACATTTTTGTTGGTAATTTGAACTAACGCCACCTAGTGGTCAATATAGCGACTAAAAAACAAGTCAATGCTGCTGAAGCGTGTCAAGGCTTATAATACAATGGAAACTGTCTGTCTGCTCTTGCGTCTGTTATATTATGCAAATTTAGAGTAAAATCTATTATATTTATCCACCACTGGCTCGTCTACTAACATTCTTAAATGTTTTCTTCTTTATAAAATAATCGGTAGAAGACAGTTTGAAGATTTTCTTCAAACTGAAGTCACAAATTGAAATATAATAATTGGGACATTTAGAACTAAACTCCTTATCATAAAATGGGCAGATTTATTTTATCAACCTATTTTGCAAGTCCAAACTGTGTCCATTAAATATTGAGTAAAGACTAAAGTACCTACTCATCATCATCATCATCATCAACAGCCCTTTACAGTCCACTGCTGGACTATGAGCCTCCTCCACTATACCTACTCAATGAATGAATAATTTAATTTCCAACATAATGCAGTTTAGCAGTTACCAAACACGGATGCTAAAACATAAGACTGCTTCGTCCACTTTCTCCACAAAACAAAAATATGATAATAAGTCATAAATGATAAACATTAGGTGTTTCTTGTTGTAAAATTAGCATTTTTATAAGTAAATTAAAATAACATTATGCTTATTAATATATTTTAATCAGACTTTTCCCCGCCCACTCAACCTCATGGAAGTCAGGCACATTACTACAAAAACTTAGTTACTTACTGACGAGAAAAAAATGTTAGTAGTTACGAGTACTACTACAAAATACCAAACCTATTAAGGCTTGGTATTTCTTCTAAAGTAGGTATTTCGCGCTGTCAAAATCTGCGCGCGCAATTCTTCGCCGAAAACAGCGCGTCAAAGAGCTCCCGCCACAATTTCCAGCTACACAGTATAGAAATACGCAGTTGGTTAGGTTAGGTTGACTTCCTTCCCTTCAAGCGTCACACTCACAACACTTTCTAATAGAAATCATATCCAAGTGATACAAATTAAAACACCTTTCAGACTTTTTGGGAATATATTCTAGAATCGAATAAATATAAAATATAACTGCAGAAGTAAACACTGTTCAAAGTGGCCGTGGCGTCGCCCGACCTTCTGGAAGTTCTGCGCCGGCTTAAAGAATTTCAAGATTACGTCACCCGACCTATCGGTAGGCCCTTGGGAGCTTGAGCGATTGGAATTTTTTTTTATGATAAGTTACTCTTAGTAGCGATTATTTAGAGCTTGGATAATAAATTTAATTATAGTTGTTGCAATTCACGAAGCTTTGCATGTGGTTAATAACATTAATCAGTATAGGTACGCATCAATTTTGTTCAGTCTCTTTGTTTATTAATAAATAAAAATATCATACTAAAATTGCAGAAACATATTTGTTTGTATTGGTCTGGGTGTTTTCTTTCTATAATATGTATGACGTATGTACGGGGTTCTGTACCTATCGAAAATTGCTATAAGCATCACACGCGGTTACCTGCGTACCTCTGTGCACTCATGGGAGTTTAAGCAGAGGTCCCTAGAGTTTGACTTTGAGCTTTGTTTATAGTCATTACGAAGCAGACTGATGGGAAACTGCACTGTCTTGAATTCGAAAGGGTAATTTGACGGTGTTTGGGGAATTCTAGGAATAAATACAGAGTCTCCTCATTGAGATTGAGACATTTCAATTTGAGATTTCACTTGACATTGAACACAATCTGAAATGGAGTTTTCAAACACTTGTAAAAATAAAAAGTAATTAAATCAAAGGCACTAAGTAGTATTGATATCAACTTCGAAGAAAATGACTGCCAAAATTACTTTCTACCCGTTCCACACGTCTTTCATGAATTATATTAAGGTATTGTTAAACTAAATTTCAAGTAGATTGAACCAAGGAATCACTTTGTCCCATACAAACTTTGCCCCCTTTTTTCACCCCCTTCATTTCATGACCCCATTTCGGAAAATCTTTTCTTATGAGATGCCTACGTCATAAAAAGAACACACCTTCCAACTTTCAGGTCTCTACGATATCCGTCAGTCATTTAGGACAAAGCATTTTTATTAGTTGTTCAAAACTCTATCGTTCCAGGTATGTCATTGACAGGAGGGCGCTACTATCTTAATGGGTTATTCATTAGTCCACTTGACATTTCAGAATCGTTTGACTTTAGATACCTAAGCGATTTGATATTCGGAGTCTTTTAATGAAATCAAGTTCTGAAATAACTTGAGGTGTTGTACCCGATCAAGCTTTTCATTGCAGGACAGTTAAATAGTTTTATTATTAGTTTCTTCTCTAAGTCTTAATTTGTCAGAGTAGGTAAAGGCTCCATGAGAGCAAAATTTAGCTTTATAATAGTTTTTAATTTTTTTCTTGAAATATTTGACGCCTTGTAATCTCTTGTAATCTCTCGTTAATATAGGTCCACACAAATAAAGAATGTTTGACTTCGACTTTAATAATTATGCTCTTACATAATTATAAATAAACTAGCTTTCCGCCCGCCGCTTCGCCCGCGTGGAATTTTTTGGTTTTTATATAACTTATTACACTCAGATATAATGTGGCTTTCTATTGGTGAAAGATTTTTTAAAATCAGTTCAGTAGATCCCGAGATTACCCCTTACAATTTAACAAATATACAAACACACAAACTTTACCTCTTTATAATATTAGATTATAGATAGGTAATTTGAAACCCTATTTTGTTTTATTCTTTTTTTTATTTTAAATATTTCACGATCCAAACTAATATTTACTGTAAGTAAATGCTAAATAGTAAATATTAGTTTGGATTGTGAAATATCCTACTAATATTATAAAGGCGAAAGTTTGGATGTCTGGATGTCATGATGTCTGGATGTTTGTTACTCTTTCACGCAAAAACTACTGAACGGATTTTGTTGAAACTTTACAGTATTATTGTTTATAACCCAGATTAACATTATGACGATATGTGGCAAATAAATTTCAATAAATAAATAAGACGTGTCTAAAAGCGCCATCTATCGTCATTGGTTAAAATCTACAGCACTGGACAAACTACGGTATGACGTTCGTAAATATTCATTCGGGGGAAACCGTGAAACGCCATCTATCAACATGGGTAAAATGAGGTAAAACATCATATCTAACGGGGGTAAAACGAGGTCCACGCGAACGAAGTCGCGGGCGGCCGCTAGTTTATAATAGGTAGCTTTCCCTCCGCAACCTTATTGGTATTCCATGTATGTGTCTTTTAACTGAGTTCTGTTAAACATTTCATGTAAAATTTGTCCAATTATAACTCTATTTACATCTGCATCTGTAAGCAAGGATTCATGTTCTCCAGCCCAGATGCCGAGTAAACAGAATCGTCTTTCAGTGACGTGCAGCTGCCCCTATATTTGACCCACTGACCTAATTTTTTATTATTTATTTGTGTCAGTGTGCTCTTCTAAAGAGTGAAGACGATTGTATGTAGGTACTATTAAAATGTAATTTTAACTCATTGGTTTTGTCTCATATTTGAGGAATGTATCATGAGTAGAGTCTTAGTTTAAAAGGATGCCAACGATTTAAATTTCAATAGGTAGACAAAATTCAGAATTCTTAATTATCAAAAATTTTAGCTTTCTCCAGTAACACTGGTATTATTATACTGTGACTCATCAAAGTCATCATTGTCAAAAATATTGACAAATCGAGAACTGTCACGGCCAAAAAACTGGCACGCGTCCGTCCTCCGTAAGCGCCACCGCGCGACTGATTGAGATTGTCCAAGCCGTCATGGGCGATTTTTTCCACATTTTTTAACATAGTAACTAAATAAGACGCAATATAAAAATTTCATCCGTTAAAAGCCCTCAAGTTATTTCTGAACTTTAGTTTAGTAAAAGATTTAGAATCTCAAATCGCTTATTTTAAAAATAAAACCATAATTAGAAAACGAATAGAGGTAACTTTGGGAATTTATTCTATCGAGTCAACTTCATCAAATCGTGTTTCCATCCGTTAATAGCCCTAGAAAATATCCTCAACTATGCCCAAAAAAAATCTTAGCCTTTTATTTTACTGTTTAGTACCTCAAAAATGAAAAATGAAAACCTCATTTTCGCCATTTTCTCTGTTACCCGGCCTTAAGTGTGATGTACTAAAAATCTAGTACAACTTTAAGCAATTATAAGATCTTACCTGCAGCTTTTCTCGTCGGCATCTTGTTCCTTGCTTCTTGAACGTACTGTTCAAAGTTGAAGCGGTACGGTTTCTGCGTGCCCATGGTCCCGATAGTGATGGGTTCCATTATAGACGCAAGGACCTCCAAGTTTTCGAATATTGCTTTGGCAACTGAAAAACATAGGAGAATTTAATTTAAGCTAGTTTCGTTTTATCGGCTCCTCGTTAGTATTCGACAGAGTCGATCGATATCACTCTGCATCCGAAAATAGTTTCTTATATCGCTATAGATAGACACATCATTTAATTTTCGTCTATTTTGTAACTTGTTGATCAAAAGAACAGATTTAATTAACAGAGTTGGTAATACACAATTTGTTAGTTTTCCTAGTTATCTAATGTTTACCGCGGTTGTTATAGAAGGAAATAATGGATTCTATAATATTAAATAACATTGAGCTATCTCAGCCGTACATAAACTTATTATGTAATTGAAACTTAGCAACAAAACTGATTTATGTGCTCTGAAGAAAATGGCCTTGCGTTTATTACAGGCATTGATACGTCTTGCACAAGAATTTATAAGCTTTCGATTCACTTTTGAAGGTTGGCATAACTAATTTGCAAATGTTATCCGGCCTACATACATTTAGAAAATGAATTATAAGGTGGTTGTAGATAAAATAAACTTCAATGCTATTCTGCATATAAAACGAAGGGTAGTAGGTACATCTAAATAAAACAGTATACACATCAAGTCATTTAAAACTGAAGGTAAACTAAACTGGATAGCTCGTGTGGTATGAATTCACCTTTACGAGGTCGTGTGTAAGGTGACCATGTTCATTAATCAGATTTCAGACTGTTCTTTTGTTGAAGCATTAAACCGACATTGAGTGACGAACAATACATAAAGAAGAATAACATAACATAATCCCTTTTAAAATAATGTTCAAGTCACTCTCAAGATTCAAATCTATCATTGGTATAGACTTTCAACCATTCAACTAATAACGGGCTAGCACTAAAATTCCCATTTTCCCCCATTCGGGGAAAGCCTATCGGGGAAATACCACGAATCTATGCTTAAGATTAAATAAAGCGTCATTTTATCAACTGCACCCTCAAAAACTTAAAGAGATATTCCTAGTGCAGTAATAAGTAAGTAACTGTTCCTATTAAATGAAAAGCTTTCCTAAAAAGCTTGTCAAATTATATTGATTTCATTATCAGATAAAAGCTGTAAACCATTGACTCGTATAATTAATATAAATCATCCAAAACCACTACACTTGTGAGAACGTGAGTTCGTGACAAGCTTTGGGCAACGGATTGCGGTGCACTTACGGCTTTACAACAGTTGTTCAGTGAGGGATATTAATTACTCTTTAAGTAGGTACACGTAATGGTTGCTGATTTATTTCAATTGTAAGATTAGCAAGAAGTGCAGTCAAATGTTTTGTATCCATCTACCTATATTTAGTAGCTAGCATCAAAGTTCAATGACACTCGAAATTGTATAAATTCTTATGTAACTAACTGTACTAATGTAATAGCTTAGTGTTTTAAAATGAAGATTTTGGGTGCAGGTCAGGTAAGTTTTATTTCCTCTTTTAGAGGTTATCAAACCTCTAAAGGAGGAAATAAAACTTACGTTTTTAACTATAATTAATATTTACTCAAGAGTTCGCAGAAAATATACAGAACCGTTTACTATACATTTACGTCTAACTTGCGCTACATTTTCTTTATTTATACTTAGCAATATGGTTCTAATCTTTGGATACTCGTAATTTGTCTCTAACACCCAAAACACAGTTTGATGAACACTTTAAAACGCTCAAGGATAAATAAATTTAAGGATTCATGACACGTTAAAGAGTTAAAAAGTTGCAACGATTTTAGAAAGTGGGACATGGGTCGAATGCAATTTTATATTGACGAAATTTTTCTGTGCTTTTGGAATTAGAATTTAGCAACGAAGATTAATGTATGAAAAAAGTTGGTAATTAACTTTATTTTTTAATATTTATACAGAAATAGGTAACGTCTTCGTTATCATCTCCGTAGTAACTGTCTTCATTTTATACATATTAGCACAAAACGTACTTATGATACATAAATCGTTCGTTTCAGCCAAATGACGTTTACTGCTGGACAAAGGCCTCCCCCAAGGTTTTCCACAATGAACGGTCCTGCGCTACCCGCATCCAGGCTCTTTCCGCGAGCTTTACCAGATCGTCGGTCCACCTAGTAGGAGGCCTGCCCACGCTACGTCTTCCAGCCCGTGGTCTCCCGCCACTCAAGAACTTTCCTGCCCCAACGGCCATCGTCTCTACGAGCTATGTGCCCCACTCACTGTCACTTGATTTTAGCAATTCTGCGAGTTATGTCGGTTACTTTGGTTCTCCTGCGGATCTCCTCATTTCTGATTCGATCACACAGGGAATCTCCGAGCATAGCCCACTCCATCGCCCTTTGGGTGACCTTGAGCCTTCTTAAGAGGCCTGTAGTAAGCGACCACGTTTCATACATAATAAGTAATAGGTTTTTGTCACCAGGTAAGTTTTTGCAAATAGAGATACCTACTAGATGCCTGATGGCAAGAAGTTACATTGTAATTAGCATTTATCTTTTGTTTTGATCCTATTATACTACGTATCTTTATCTCAACATATACATAATTAAGCTATATTAATTGAGATACGTGTGGTTGCTCCTTTATATTTGCATTTAAGAATTAATTGGACTAACTTAAACTAGGGTCATAATTATAATTGGATCACGATGCTGCAGTGCTTTTATAATTTCGAAATCATTAATTAAATGTTAGATTGGCTAAGAGTTATTTGGACTTTGTTTATGAAGACCTGTCTTAAAAATTTACCTGTTACGTTTCTAAGTATGTATTTTTGTGATATCGCTAAGAAATTGACTGAATATAATAATATCACTACATTCCGTATTTCCCAATCATGAATGAGAAGTAAAACAGAAGTAGGAAGCCTACCTTTCCGAGGCCTAATATTAATTCCCAATCCATATTGTATTACCAGTATGACTAAAGATACAAACTAGGAACTGTGTCTAAAATAAAGTATATCGTCGTGTACATCTAATTACTGTATCACGGTAGCATGGTACAAACAACTTGTGTTAATCAATTTAATGAGTGTCATTAAAGGAGTCATAAAACATAATACAGAATAAGTAATATAACAAGGCTTTTCATTGATATTAAAAAATCAGCTTCCCAAATCTTCTCATAGGTAATAATGGATGATTAGTAAAGGTTTTAGTAGTAGCCAAGCCTCTTATATAGTAACTAAATAGTTTTAAGTTTAAAAAAACTAATATCTAAACTAATCAGGATTTACAATATTCAGGTATTATGAGTTAGAACATGTTAAAACTTTACTAGATTAATAATTACTTAATATCTTACCGTATTCATAATCCTTACTACGAAATACCAAATTTGAAAGGTCCGTGTTGTTTTTGATGCGGTCCATGCGCCTGGTGATATTGACTAAGTTTTCCTTCAATTTCTCGGGTACAGACTTGTCCAGTTCATTGATTGTGTATTCCAATTGACCTGCACCCAAAATGTTTGCACAAAAACTATAGTGAAAGTCATAAGATTCTTCAGGAATAAACTTTTTTTCAGTATGTTTTCGGATTTACATCCTAGAACTCTATCTGCCAATAAGTGAGTATACCTGCCGGTTTTTGTATTGTATCTTAGTTGTTTAGTAAAAAAAACTTACGTAGGAGTATGTCAAAGTATCTTACAAATACGTCAGTATTACACTATTGCAAATTTTTTTTTCTTCTCCTCAGTAAAAGATTATGTATGTGTTACCATATCTTTACCTCTGGCAATACCCAAAGCGATGTACCACTCTGGATCCTTGGAAGGCTTCTTCTCGTAGTAGTTTAATAACTTATCCAATGTTATCGAGACGCGGTAAACTTTAGGAACATTGTAGATGAAATCTTGCGTATCAAAGTATGGGTAGATGGAAAACGTCACGGCAAGCAATGGCGCAAATATAACGAGTTGTTTTACGCACATTTTGTTAGCAACTAACAATTAAAACGAAAGCAATCGGCACCATAAAACAATAGACCACACGGCAACTGTTGATTGGGTAGACCTAGTTACTGTATTTTCTTGTAAAATAATTGTAATCAGTTTCTGGTTCTTTATTACAAGTTTATTATTAACGTTGGTTTCTTTTCATAAAACTATTTTAAAGCATGCCCTGTTTTTGATGAATGTAGTGTGACCAATCAATCACATAGCAAGACAAAAAACTTATGCTTACATAATAAGGTAATCGCATTCTTTAATGTTTCTATGTTTATGTTTAGTACATTTTTACGGAAATGTTGTCCATTTTCGTAATGTGCTACAAGCATTTTACTTTCTATACATTAGTCTAATTTCACAATAGAATCGCCATAAGCATTAAAACCCCCTAAAATCCCGTTTTCTAAAATTGCGTGGCTCAGACGAATCAATTGGTCAAACAAATTGTAACATAAGATCGAAATCATAACACATAGCTACGAAACCTACTTTTGAGTCCACAATGATGAAAGTTGATTGAATTGAAAATCCTCAAACCAGCTCCAACGCATTGTGTAGTATTGTAGTGCTTAAAGTATACCAGACAAAATAAACATAGGTAAAGATCAACGCTCTATACTAAAACTAGACCTCTAATATTGCTACAGTATAATGGTAATTAGGATTTTAGATGTTAATCTATCCACAAAGTGCATATGATTAAGGTGGTCACAAACTATTATCATCTAATACTTATGCTTAGCGATCAATTTAAACTTTTTGCGTATCAACTTTCATATTAGAGTATATTCATAGTATCGTGTGTGTATCTATTGCTTTGAAGGTTAGCGTTTAGTGATGCTACATATAAAGCTTGCAGATGTGCGGACTGTAAGTGGGGCCAAGTGAGCCCGGTGCGAAAGGGCCGCACGACAGACAAAGTAGAGACCCGCGCTCGTACTCACGCGTTTTTTGCAATGCCGTTTTTCACTGCACCGTTTCACGCTGCTGTCTCTGTCGAGTCAATGCTTGGTGAACTAGAAGAAACGAGACGAAATATTTTTTGATATTATGTAAACGATGGCTTTGTCGCATCAGTGGTTCATACAGTGGTCTTCACCGCCTTCACTGTTTGCGGATATTAACAACCGGTACAAAAGTGTTAACACCTGGAACAATGGCAAGCCCGAGTGGGCTTGGGAAGTGACTTTACAAAACAGTGATAACGGCTACGAGTTATCGGATTACAGGCAACATGTTGACGAAAACAATTTTGGATATAGTGAACATACTAATCCTAAGCAAAATGGTAAGTTTGTCACATTTGTGTTATTGGTCAAAGTTTCACTAAAATCAAATAGGGTGAATTATGTTGCAAAACTACTTAACATCCTACAGAATTGCAAAATTAGAATAAAACTTATTTATACAATACTAAATTAATAAAAATAGTTTTGCTGTGGCAACTGTTATTTTGGAATCCGTACTTAGTGAATATTTGTAATTGTTAGTATTAATTATTAGTTTGATCGATAATTTCAGATCAAAGCTCTATCAATAATTGCAATAGTTAAACTATACGTACTACTTGTAGATAACAGCTCAAGTTAGTAAGATTTTCATTAAGAATTAATAAATAAGTTCTTAACTATTGACATCAGCTTTAGATTAGACCGCAACTTAGTTTCGCAAATTGCACACCATGAATAATGTGCCCATTTTATATCCCGTATGCAGTAGTTAGTTACGATATATGTCCTCTGCGTGGAATTCTACCACTATTTTAAGATATCTAAAGCATTGCAACTGCAACATACACGTTGTTCTTGTGCAACAGAGACCTCGGTGAAAGTAGAATCGATTTTAAGTATCTCACCATGTGACCATACAAACTGGTCAATTAAATCTTGCCAAAATATGCTCCTACGTCTAAATAATAACAGAATATATATGTAGTACAAGGCATTACAACTATAATGTTCATATTTACATTTATATGTATGTGATGAAGATAAGTTAATTGCAAAAAAAAAGCAATTTGATCATGCGTTTTCATGGGTCATTAATATTTGCAAGTACCTACTGGTTGCACATCATAACCACCTACGCATTGTTTACAATCCTTTTAATTGTCGGATTATTAGAAGTATTTTATACCGAAAATACAATTATATTTTTATTAATTATAAATTAAATATAGTTTAATTAAAGTTAATTACATCAATAGTCGTATGTAATGTATCTATGTACAAATATTTAAAAAATGCGTACACAGATGCCTTAAAAAATTCAATTGTATCTAGCCATCCACGCTAAAATAAAATACGTATTAAAAGAAATGGTCAGTATCAATTCGTATTACGTGACTAACCCACTGAGGCTATAGGCCGTAAATCACTGCAGAACTACTGGCGTTTGACCAATCATGGCTACGTACCTACTCTTAACATTTCACGGGAAAGTCGGAAAAGTAATTATACGCCTAAGCGACAAACAAACAAAACGGTTTCACTATTGACAATTTTATCAAACTTAGATGTAGCTGAATTGATTTTTAAGTAAAAAAGATGAACAATTTTTTACCCGACTGCACCAGAAGCAGGGTTATGTTTTTTTATTGTTTTATGATCTATAAATAATTAGAATGTTAATTATCAAAATACAAAAAATGAAAACAAGATTTTATTCTAGTCCGCTACAGGTCAAGAGAAGCGAAATAACTGGAATGGAAAGTTACTTTATTATTTTGGTAAATGTAAATCAAAATTATTGCACTTGTTTTACTATAGTACGTTGATTATATTTCGTTCAACAAGTCTTTTTGCTACTGTATTAATTTATAAAAAATGGCCTGATTCTAATACATTAAATTACGACCTACGTAATCCTATGTAAGATGGAAAATGAAATAAAACACGTGTTTTTATTGATCACACACATAAAATATCAATAATGTATCGAAACTTATTTTAATTATCTTTCTGAACGTAAGTAATTAAGGTTTAATAATGTGTACACCGCACTTGATAGATAGATAGATATATCTGCTATTTACATAGATATTTAAAAGGATGCAGTGCTATTGAATATTCTGAGGTTAGAGAATGTATGAAAATGTATCAATGCCAGATAGATTTCAAACAATAACATTTTGTAATAAGTTTCAAAATATAAAAATCTAGGCTTTGTAAAGAATACAAATATTGCGTTAAAAGTTACAAAAATTTAAGTTCTATCGTACTTTATTAGTCTATAATATTATAAATCTAATGTTAGTAGTTACTTTTAAGTGAATATTTTTTTAAAGTTTAGAATCAATAATATAATAATTATAATCATGCATGATGTAAGAATACGTTAGGTCAGATACCTTTATCGCACCAGGAATCAGATTTTTATTTTTAATACCTTACAGAATCATAATAAAATCTACATAATTGACATGAAGTTCAGGTTAATGCCAAGATTAGAATCAAATGTTACCCACATTAGTTAACAATTATATATGTAGACGATGTAAGACAGGTAATGGAAGACAGTTACGCTTCATAATAAATTAATAGGTACCGTAAAACAACTGACTGGAACGCTATTATTATGTAAGAACATAACAATTTTATTGATTACACCCTATTGTATAATTAGAAGAATTTTATTACTACTTCACGTCTCTGTCTGCTTGTTGATTGGATATGGTGATGAGTTTTAGGGTTTTCAGTAAAGGTAGCAACTCCGGAATAACTGCTCTTAAGAGAAAAGAACTATACGACAGCTTCACATCAACTTATCAATAAAGTAATTTGGTCTTTTTCGAATAATAAGAAGATCTCAAAATTAAATTGCTGCAACGGACTCTCCTTTTGCTGGAAATTATCTGTCTTGATTTTTTATTAAATTCAAGTGATAAAATACTAATTATTATTCTGTAGAGATAAGTAAACCCGTATACCTACCTATTATTTAAATATATGTAGGTAACCACTCGATTTTCAACTTTGTCAATAGCGAGCTCCTGACTGAATAAAGTTGGAAAAATAGGCGAAGCCTTTTCGCTTTACTTGAAACTATGGAAAACTCATTTAGGTAGATTATCTCGTCTAGGTGAATTCATTACGAAATTTTTTTCTTCATTTCTGCTCAGCACCATGAACAAAAACTGTACTACTAAAACTAAATTGAATGATGAAAAGTGTTTCAGTTTGATTAGATTGCGGTTGCTCGCAATGTTTGATTTAATTTTTTTCTCAAATGCGCTAGGTTTAATCAACAAAAATCGCACGGTAAAGTAAAAAGATCCTACTTGTAACAAAAATAATCATAACAGTATGTTATTTTAATGAAACGATGTTTATGTTTGAGCTCGTGCGCGAAATTTAATAACTGCTTTTATAACATTGAATCATTCGATATCAGTTGTCTCGTTAGTATGGCCTGTCATTACTTCCTCAACCAGCAAAGTGAGTACGCAACAATTCTCGGCGTGTGCTCGCTACTTCCTACGATTATGGCCATTAGTAAGTCACTAGGAAATTGATGTAATAATAAATGCTTAGTCAGCATTTCACTACATACAGATATTACCGATGTTGAGTCTTTCTCTCTTATAATTTAGATCTTTCGATAACTTCTAGTTACAAACTTACTATGATTTTCAGATATTAGATAAGTATTAAAGGTATCCTGTAACTCTTGCTAGTTGTTGGGAATAGTTTGAGATAAGAAAATAATATAAATCTACGGGAAACGAACAGCCTATCTATCCTGTCTGTAAAGGCATATACTTAAGCCCAATCAATTATCTTCCAATCTCTATACAAGCCACCTACTATGCTCTATGCTCAATCTGCGGTTACCAAAATGCGGTCTACACTTCGTCAACTTCCAAAGTCATCAATTACGGTCGTAATGAACCATTCCATTCAGTAGCTTGTTAATCCTGTGAGATAATGTCGATTTTGTTTTGTTCTCGAATTAATCTCGTTTTCAAAATAATTTTATCCCTCTGAAAAATGCTGAAAAAAATATTAAATGAAATCCTTTGTCTGGTTTCCAGAGGCGACCCGCGCGGCTGGACTGGCGCTATGGCTGACCATGCTGGGAGTAGCGCGCGCGCAGAGCATACCAGCCGACACGGAGACGCCGCCTTTCAACACACTCTACAAGTGGAAGCACGTAGACTTCGAATTCCCCTCGCCTAGACACCGTAGGCAGGCAATAGCTGATGGGTAAGGAATTACGATCAGAGATCTCAACATATACAGTGTGTCCGGGCATGTAGTGATCAAACTTTAAGGGCGTAATCTATAGGCAATTTTATCGATGAAAATACTTCAAAGAAGAACGGTCATCTGTGTCATGTCTTGATTAGTTAAATTATATATTTTTTATATTCGAAATCTATGTATAACACCAAATTATTACCCTTTGTTTTTGTTCAAGCGTCATACAAAAACTAATATAAAATGCATATTTGTCACCAAAATTGGTAAATGTATGTACCTAAATAGCTGCTATGGAATGTATCTAGGTGACTTGGAGATACAGCCGGATTATACAGGGCGGAAACGAGAAGTTACAAAATCCAAAAATTCAATGTTANTATATCTGCAGGCACAGAACTCACATTTCAAAAACAACAAATGTAAAACAAAACACCTATTCACGAGTGGGAAAAGAAAATGGAATTGAATAAAAAGAAACTAACTAGGTACTCAACATAAATAATTTGCAACTCTAATTATCTTGTTGGTGATTACAGAAGCATATTAACGACGTCTTGCACACAGTAGCTATTTCAGAAAACTTCTGAGAAAGCTTTCAACAAAACTAATATTCATTGGAATACACGATCTGGATAGGTATAAACTTGCGACAAAAGTTTATATTTTTATATTGAAATATTTTCATGAATGATTTATCAATAGTGTTCCTCAGCCATGAACTATTAAGATTTGTACATACTCAAATTATCATAGTTGTAGTAGAAACTAATATAATAAACTTGAAAGGTTTTGTAATAGTCGACCGAGTTTTGTGTTAGATAATTATGCAAATTAATAGGTATTTATAGGTATGTTATACGTGCATAGTTTGTTTTTGGAAAATGTCCACCGTCCATTCAAGTAGGTAATTATTGCGCTAATGTAACCGGAGCAACTTTACGAACTTGAGTGAGACCACAAAAACAATTTAGTGGCCATATGAGGATTGGCCTTCTATGAGCTCACACGCATTCACATAAAGTATAGGTTCTGGTGCTGTGATTGTAATACACGGACGCAAGATTGCTCTGATGCCCACGTTTACATAGCCGATACTTGGCGTTTCGGCCTCCTAGTCTTTAGAGAAAAAGATGCACATTTTTGGAGATTTTCACATCATCTGTTCTACCCTGATCCTTTGGCATCCAATTTTACACTTCATGGTGTCAACTTTCAATGGGNCTGTCGGGTCTGGGTTTTTTTTGTATGGGGCGTGACCGTTCTTCTTTGGGGCTTGCCCCATTTCTCGCAAAATTACAAGGATTTAAGTTTTTAATTTTTAGTTTTCACCTCTTCCTTCAAAAACAAGTGTGAAAGCGTGGGTAACTTAACACTAATAAGCAAAAATTTTATATCATGCGATAGCCAATAAAATTATCCATTAGTAGAAGTAAAAAACGAACACAAGTTTTATACATTTTGAAGGAGTAAGAATGGATTTAATTAGAAAAAACATGACTTTTTTCACTTATTTTTCAGTTATTTTCCAACACAAGAAAAACCAGTACCTCTAGTACGAAAAACTTTCGAGTTCGTTTCGTTGCGTATTCAAAGTGTCATCGAAAAATTTTGTATGAAAAAATAAACAGCGCCCCCTATATTATAGCCACCCTAGGGGGCGCTGTTTAATTTTTCATACAAAATTTTTCGATGACACTTTGAATACGCAACGAAACGAACTCGAAAGTTTTTCGTACTAGAGGTACAGGTCGTTAAGGTATGTTTTATTTGCATTGTATTATTAGTATTTAAGCTATTCTACAAAACGAATGTGTCTATGTCTATTAGTTTCGACGTAATTGTTGAACAAAGATACCCCTTCCCAGCGATTCCATAGCGCGGCGGTATGTAATCGGAATAGGTTGTGTGATTCTTTCATGCAGTGCATTTTCGCATGTCGCGCTATGGAAACCGCTGGGAAGGGGTATCTTTGTTTTATAATTACGTCGAAACTAATAGACGTAGACTAATAAATTTACATTCGTTTTGTAGAATAGCTCAAATACTAATAATACAATGCAAATAAAACATACCTTAACGACCTGGTTTTTCTTGTGTTGGAAAATAACTGAAAAAGAATTGAAAAAAAGTCATGTTTTTTTCTTCTTTAATCCATTCCTACTCCCTTAAAAAGTATGAAACTTGTGTCTGTTTTCTACTTTACTAATTGATAATTTTATCAGCTATTGCATGACATAAAATATTTGCTCATTAGTGTTAAGGTGCCCACGCAATCACTTGTTTTTGAAGGAAGAGATGAATTCTAAAAATTAAAAACTTAAAGCCTTGTAATTTTTTGAGAAATGGGTCAAGCCCCAAATTTGAAGTATTTTCATCGATAAAATTGTCCATAGATCACGCCCTTAAAGTTTGATCACTACATGCCCGGACACATTGTATAACAACTCTCACATCTTGCAGTAGAAAGCTACTAATTTGTCACTAATTTCTTTATTAAAATGTTTTAAATGTAATAAAACTTTAATCAACATGAACCTGAACTGAACTAACCTGTATTAGGTCAAATTCTGTGCCTGAACTAAGAACTTTTTATGTATCATGTTTCAGAAAGTACATTCCAGAGAATGTTCTCCCCCTGGGCTTAGAAGTGTGGGGCTCACGGGTGTGGGTCACGCTGCCGAGCTGGCGGAAAGGAGTGCCCGCCACCCTGGCCACGGTGCCGAGAAACGGCGGCATGGCCTCGCCGCCTCTTACGCCTTATCCTGACTGGACTTATCATAGAGCTTACAGTAAGTATACTTGGGGTAACCTATGACATTCCATTGGTAAAAAAATATCTTAACTATTCAATTTATTGGGAAATTCAAGTATTTAAAAATAACCCCGGATAAGTAACATCAATCTGGCGATCCTCCCACATCAGCCATATATCAAAAGCTTTTATTTATAAATTATTTAAATTCTGTTTCAGACAATGGACAAAACTGCACTGGGCTAACATCAGTGTTTCGAGTGAACGCAGATCCATGCGGAAGATTATGGGTCCTGGATTCCGGACAAATAGATTCACAAGATAAGCCTAGACAGATCTGCCCTCCAAGCATTGTGCTGTTCGATCTATACTCTGATAAAATTATTAACCGTTTTGTGATTCCCAAAAAATATGTTTTGCAAGACTCCTTGTACTCAAATATTATAGTCGACACACGGACGCAAGATTGCTCTGATGCCCACGTTTACATAGCCGATACTTGGCGTTTCGGCCTCCTAGTCTTTAGAGAAAAAGATGCACATTTTTGGAGATTTTCACATCATCTGTTCTACCCTGATCCTTTGGCATCCAATTTTACACTTCATGGTGTCAACTTTCAATGGACAGATGGAATATTCGGTCTTGCACTGAGCCCTATTGGTCAATATGAGGAGCGGATTTTATTTTTCCATTCTCTATCAAGCTACAGAGAGTTTTATGTATCAACAGCGGTTCTTCAAGACCCTTCAAGAACAAATAGTAGTGCATCAGAGTTTAATCTAGTCGGTGATAGTAGAGGTTTAGCTGGGCAATCATCCGCATCAGCCGTTGATAGGCGAGGCGTAATGTTCTACGGACTCGTCTCGAGAGACAGTATTGGATGCTGGGATTTAAAGAAACCGTACCATAAAAGGACTATTGGAGAGGTCGCGAAGAATTCTGACACTCTCGTATTCCCTAATGACATAAAAGTTGATCAGGATGAGCAACAAAGTGTGTGGGTAATATCGAATAGACTACCGATGTTCCAAGCGGGCCCATTGGACCCGGACGACTACAACTACCGCATTTTGTACGCAGATACCGCGGAGGCTGTGAGGGGTACAGTCTGTGATCCTGAAGAATCAACACTGTTTTAGAGCCATACTTTGTTACTTATTTAAATGAAAAATATTGTTTTTGTAAATACATCTTGTACTGTAAAACTGTGTTTATCTTACTCTATTATGCTATTCGTTCTCACCTAAATAAAACATTGCCGATAATCGTGCTTAAGGCGTTAAAGACGTCAAGAATTCAGCGAATCTAATCGCTTCGTACCTAAACAGCAGCGTCTGATAACGAATACCTATATGTATAGTGAATTGGAAATGAATTGTACATTATATCTGCAGGCACAGAACTCACATTTCAAAAACAACAAATGTAAAACAAAACACCTATTCACGAGTGGGAAAAGAAAATGGAATTGAATAAAAAGAAACTAACTAGGTACTCAACATAAATAATTTGCAACTCTAATTATCTTGTTGGTGATTACAGAAGCATATTAACGACGTCTTGCACACAGTAGCTATTTCAGAAAACTTCTGAGAAAGCTTTCAACAAAACTAATATTCATTGGAATACACGATCTGGATAGGTATAAACTTGCGACAAAAGTTTATATTTTTATATTGAAATATTTTCATGAATGATTTATCAATAGTGTTCCTCAGCCATGAACTATTAAGATTTGTACATACTCAAATTATCATAGTTGTAGTAGAAATACCATAACTTAACTATGATAATTTGAGTATGACCTTTTGTTTTGTAATAGTCGACCGAGTTTTGTGTTAGATAATTATGCAAATTAATAGGTATTTATAGGTATGTTATACGTGCATAGTTTGTTTTTGGAAAATGTCCACCGTCCATTCAAGTAGGTAATTATTGCGCTAATGTAACCGGAGCAACTTTACGAACTTGAGTGAGACCACAAAAACAATTTAGTGGCCATATGAGGATTGGCCTTCTATGAGCTCACACGCATTCACATAAAGTATAGGTTCTGGTGCTGTGATTGTAATAATTCAATAATTTAGATGTGGTTTCATAAGTGTTAACCGGAAACTGAAAGGTAAGTCATTTTTAATTTTTTTTGTCTGTTAGAATAGATATTTTATAATCATTCTAAACATCCCGTTTTCTTTATAAGTATTTAGAAGAATTAAAAGGTTCTTTTAGTAATATTTACTTGATTTAACCAAAGTAGAAATAAAAGATTTTGAAATATAAGTTGTAAAAATGATAACGATAAACATAATCTGCATTAACTAAAAACGAATTATCTTTTTTTAACTGCTTCTGGTGGGAATGGAATATGTTTATATAGTAGCATCATAAATGCAAAAACATTATTGACTAAATACAATATTACTGTATAGCCAGATGTTGTTGTTACTCACCCAGCTGTACAACATAAATAGCCGTAGAGTCAATAGAGTCATCTATTTCACTGAAATCGAATAATTTTTATAAAAATACATATTACCTTATCCTTTCCTTGTCAATTTTGATCTACTCGTAAATAAAAAGAAGATATACAAGGCAGGTTTAAGGGGTATTCGTTTGCATATCATTTATATTGCGATCTTAAATGCGACCTTGTGTATTGAATTTAATGTATCGAATATAAGTAAGTTCTTCAATATCATTGTCTTCTGAAACTTGATCTCAACGAATTATAACTTCTTTCACTCTCTGTCAGTGATTGATTATCATATCCTACATGTCACGGACACTGCTGTTTTGTTGAACTAGGCAGTGCCGCTGGCCTCACACATGTAGGTGCTGCGGTTAAATCTTGATAATCAACACCAATACTCATTCGGGCGTGTCAATCAGTACTATTTCAGCATCTTAATTCGTAAACGTTTCCACAAAATGCGTAATTATTCATAGTAATTACAATCTAATTATTAAAAAAAAAGTTTGAGGATGTTAGCATTTGGCCATTTGAAATCCCACAGAAAATCTTAGAAGCTACTAATTACATAAATAAATTCTGTATTACATAAAAGAATAACAGAAAGTTATCATTTGAATAATGTTACATATTTTATTCTCACATTTAATTTAAATCCTCTAGCTAGACTCTACACTTTCATAATGTGTCTAGATAACTACTTTCACACTAAAACCCAATCAATCTATTCCGAAATTACATCCGCACTAATAGATAGGAACTCATTCTTAATTAGAATAGTTTGGTAATCAACTTACATACGAGTACCTTCTTACTGTAATCCAACTGTTGATTGCATGGGCGTGGTACCTAGTTTGTGGTTGAGGCATAATTTGCTTGAATTAGCAATTATTTGCAGCGGTACTCGATTATTGTATTGATAATTCGCTATCATATTTTATTAAATATTTAGCCATTAATTTGGCTAGCCAAACTGCTTTTATTGAGCAGACCATGGATGTTCGACCCTTGGAATCTGTTCCAAATCATAATTTAAATTACATCGTAAGACAATAGAGGATAACTCTGGCATACAAAATTCGGGTACAAAGAAATTTAACGGTTTTAATTTAGTGCATCAAAATGTACAAGGCTTCTCCGGCAAAGACTTGGAAATTGAGTTATTTATCCAAGAATTGAATATTCATGTCTTATGTTTAACGGAACATTGGCTCAGGCAATATGAACTAATGCTGAGCATTAATAATTATAAGCTTATTAGTTCATTCACTAGAGAGTTAGCTATTCGTGGAGGGTCACTAATATTAATCAATGATAAATTAAAATGTAAAGAGCGTAAAGATATTGTATCTCTCTCTGTTGAGCGAACTATTGAGCTGTCATGTGCAGAACTGGACGACTATGTTATTGTATGTGTATATAGACCCCCATCTAGTAACTATGAATTATTTGAAACCACAATGGAAGAGGTACTTAGAAGAGTGTGTAATAGTTCAAAGAAAGTAGTTGTATGTGGAGACTTTAATATCAATATAATAGAAGATTCCTCTCTTTCAATACGGTTTTTAAATTTATTCAAATCTTTTAACTTGTTAAATCTTTTCTCTGAACCAACTAGGGTGACTCCAACATCAGCTACTTGCTTAGACAATATATTCTGTAACTGCTTAGTGCTAGAGAAATCAATAATAAATTTTGTTAATTCTGATCATTGCGGTCAAATAGCGTCATTTCAACACCATTTTGTGCCATCGAGCAAGGAAATAGAATATAGACCAGAATGGAAACAGAATTATATTCTTTTTTTTATTATTTTCTATTGACGTTCATAAGTGCCACTTGTGGTCTAAACTGAATAAAATATTTTTGATTTGATTTGATTTGATTTGATTGGCTCCAAGACGACTTGCTTACTGTATACCTACAATTTCAATCGTTATGTGTATTAAAAAAGTGTTCGTGTACTACTTGCATTTAATGTTTTTCACAGATGGAACCAAAATCCCTGCTGTTTAAACTCGGTATCTTAACGCTGTTTGTGACTCAGTGCTTTGCTGTCGACAAAGCCATAGGCACTCTGTACAGATGGAAACAAATTGACTTCGAATACCCAACGCCTGAAGAGCGACTAGCAGCTATACGAAATGGGTAATGTTTTTTTAATCCACCTTGTAAGTTATGAAATGTATTTATTATTCTTTACATCTTTTTCGAACGCAAACGAACGAACGACGTGGGAGGTTAATAAATAGAATATCCGTGGAAATAACTAATTATTTTAAATTTTTAGAGAGTTTAACCCAATTAACACAATCATCCTGGGGGTCGAACGATGGAAGGAGCGAGTGTTTGTGAGCACTCCAGCTTGGAAGAAAGGCGTCCCAGCTACTCTTTCTTCTTTACCGATTGACGTGGAGTCGGAGTCTGCACCACTGCGTCCATTCCCCAACTGGGACTGGCATAGAGCAGGTAATTTACATAATTAATTGAAAGCGTATATATTTTTATCCTATCTATTGTCAAAATTGAAAGTTATTTTCTCTTTAACAGAAAACTGCACTGGCTTCACATCGATCTTCCGCATGAGTATTGATCACTGCGGCACCATGTGGGTTCTCGACTCCGGTCAAGTTGAGGCTTTTGAAACCCCTCGTCAGCTGTGTCCACCATCTCTCATAGCGATAGACTTGGCAACAGACTCTGTGGTTGCACGTTATGAGATACCCCCTGAATACGTCCTACAAAACTCTCTTATTAGTAACATCGTGGTTGATTCGAGAGACGCTCGTTGTAGAGATACTCACGTTTACATTGCTGACACATGGCGATTTGGCCTCATCGTATTCCGAGCCTCTGATGCTGTTTTTTGGAGATTCAGTCATTTCACATTCTTCCCGGAGCCACTGATGTCAAACTACACGTTACATGGATTAAACTTTCAATGGACAGATGGAATATTTGGAATGTCTCTGGGCCGACTCCAGAATGGCGACCGACCGTTGTATTACCACGCAATGTCAAGTTCGCGGGAATTTGTAGTACCAGCGTCAGTGATTCGAGATCAGTCACGTGTTTCAAATTCAGTAGGAGAATTCAAACTTCTCGGTAATCGTGGGGATGAAGGACAGATTTCTGCCGCAGCCGTGGACCGCAACGGTATTATGTTCTTTAACCTCATTTCACAAGACAGTATCGGGTGTTGGAATACGCTCAAACCATATGAAAACGATAACTTAGGCATCGTTGCACACAATGAAAGAACACTTATATTTCCCAACGATCTCAGGCTTGACCACGAGATACCACAGAGAGCATGGATAATCACGAATAGACTACCGATGTACCAATTCAATTTGATTGATCCAAATGAATACAATTTTAGAATTATGTTTTTGGACCCAGTGAAAGCAGTTCAAGACAATGTATGTAAAATTTAGGCTATTATACAAATTAAAACTTAGTATAATTAGGTGTAGAACTAGAAATAAGAAGTAATACATCATATCAGTTAATGTGATTTACTTTTAGATAAACAATATTAACGTAGGTATTGTATTTGAATGAAATAATGTAAAAAAACTACTAAATTAAACTTGTAAGTTTATTTATTTGTGCTTTTCTTATTTTTCCCTTTTTTCAGTTTTGGATTTGTTAGACGTAAGACTATCAGCTGAGCTTTCCTCATCATCACTTAGTATCGTAACTGAAGATTTTTTATGTTGACTGGATTTAACAGCCCGAGCTTTGTTATCATTTTTATCTTTATTCAAAGATTTTGTTTTCAAAGACCGGTGCTTCTGCATACCTTCGATAATTGACTCCAAACTATCTTTTTCTTCTAAATTTATAGACTTATTATTTTCCGATTCTGACGTTCCATCCTCTTTCTGTTTTGATTCATTTGCTAGTCGCTGTGTAAAGGAAATTTTCTTTTTTACTTCTTTGAAATTTACTGATAGTCCAGTCAATAAAGCATTATAGATGGAAAACTGTAGAACACAATTTCTGACTTCAGGACTTTATTTAGACTAGTTAGGAGGTGAACATAGCAAAAGTCCCCGCCCTTAGCCCTTGAGCCGGCGGGGACAGGGGGGTTTAAAGGTACCACTTTTCGGTTTTTCGCTTAATCCTCGGAAACTATGCGTCCTAGTGACATGACTACTATGAACCAAAAAAAGCTTATTCAATTTGCTACAGGTGAGGTAGACAAGTTTTTCTATAAATTGTATAGTTTTCGCGGCATCTGCTCTAGAAGGTCTGTAATATTGGAAATTTTATTTTTGTCTTACATGTTTCCATTAGGAGAAAATCGACTAAATCAACATTGAGCAATCATTCTAGACATGCGGGAGCATGTTAAGCTTAGTTCCAGGGAGGGGACTGCACCGTGCGTATATTTAGACGAACCACTTTGAGCCACTTTTGACTCCTCATCACTCAAAAACTACTGTGCATTAACACTTCAAATTTGGTTCATGTGTTGAGACTTGCAAGATATACATCAGTTTCAAATTTCATAAATATACCTCAAACGGTTATTTAGGTATTGACGTCCAAAAATCGATATTTAGAGCACTAAAATCTATCTATCACATGTGAAATGTTAAAATTTACTGGTTTTTTATTTGTTCCTATGTATTTACATAACTACCTTTCTGGATGCCAAATTTGAACCTTCGAGGTCATCTGGAAGTGGTTAGAATTTGGTCTATAGGTCAGACATGTAGATTTTTGGACGTCAATATCTAAAGAACCGTTTGAGGCATATTTATGAAATTTGAAGCTGATGTATATCTTGCAAGTCTCAATACATGAGCCAAATTTGAAGTGTTAATGCACAGCAGTTTTTGAATGATGAGGAGTCAAAAGTGGCTCTAATTGGTTCGTCTAAATATACGCACGGTGCAGTCCCCTCCCTGGAACTAGGCTTAACATGCTCCCGCATGCCTATAGTGTTTGCTCAATGTTGATTTAGTCGAATTTCTCCTGAAAGGAATATGTAAGACAACAATAAAATTTCCAATTTTACAGACCTTCTAGAGCAGATGCCGTAAAAACTATACAAGATATAGAAAAACTTGACGGTCTCACCTGTAGCAAATTGAATAAGCTTTTTTTGGTTCATAGTAGTCATGTCACTAGGACGCAAAGTTTCCGAGGATTAAGCGAAAAACCGAAAAGTGGTACCTTTAAACCCCCCTCTCCCCGCCGGCTCAAGGGCTAAGGGCGGGGACTTTTGCTATGTTCACCACCTAACTAGGCTAAAAAAAGTCCCGAGGTCAGAAATTGTGTTCCACGGATTTCTCTCTACACCGTCGTTAAGGCATTCATTGACTGGACTATGACTTTTCACTTGACACACCTGATTGTATTTTGTTTTGTGTTATTTCCCTAACATCTTGATTTGATGTGTTGCCTAATTTCTTCGAAGTACTTGGAGTTTCCGTCTCTACAGATACGGCTTCGTCAGATGGGCTACTATTCGAACACTTATTATTATCGGTAGTGTTATTATTTTCATTGACTTGACTTTGATGTCTCAATAATTGAGAAGGAGAAATTCTGGCGTCAGAAGTTAGCGTTATAGTCATATCTGAATGTAGTGGAATATCAGAAGGCTTTTTGCCAAAGATTTGTGGATAATCTCTCAAATACGACGCCGTTCTTCCTTTGCTATTTCCCACAAGTAGTGGAGTGTCAGTGTCGTCTGGAGGCATAGTTGTGCAGTCATGATTACTTCTTCTATGTTCCATTAATATTTGTGAAGTAGCTGAATTTAATATTTGTGAAGTAGCTGATTCATTGCCTTCTTTAGATATGTATGCCCCAATTCGAAGCATCATTACTCCGAATTGCTCGAGAATACGATCTGAATCGCGTGGAACCATAACTTCACTGCCAAAGCATTCGTCATAGCATCCCGTATCTGACATGATGCGATTAGAAGTAGTCGATAGGGGATGTACCATAATATCGTTTTCTTCCTTAGTGTTGTCCTCAGCACTTGTGTCTGTGGCATGGCTCATTCTTGAAGAGTAGTCGGGCCTGGGTCTGAGGACGTCCGGGTTCAATGAGTGACGCTCATTGTAGCTGTAAATTCAACATCAATCTTATTTATTTCAAATGTTATCACACATTACATTACTTACAAGCCAAGGACCACATAAGGACTCTACACACTAAGCCCGTCGACAGCCCGACAGCTTGGTGTCGGTGACTTTATTTCAAAAGAATCATGACGACTTTATGAGGGCGAGGCTACTTTATGATATAATACAACTATTACTCACACATTACAAAGTAGCCGCCTTCGCAGCTGTTCCTCGCCTAGTAACGATTTTGTTCGTCGTCTTCTAACGGCTAGTTCCAGCCCATAATCATGCTCGCTAGGGGGAAGAACTACGGGGAATGTTTTAAACACTGATGCCACTTTTAGAACGTGATAGTAACTAAAAGGAGAAAAATATATTTACTACTTTATATAGCTTTTGATCTAATTGTACGTTTATTCATTGTTTGCTTACCCGTAAATAAGCATCCACATGTAAAATGAAGGCATAATGGAAATAACCTTGATGACGACAAACTTGATACAAGGTGGTCGGGCGGCACCCAAAAGGACGCAAGTGCCCAGACCGAGGGCAAGACTTGTCAATTCACACAGTAGCTTCCTTATCGCAGCCAGCAAAAGCCACGGTAGAACTAAGGTCGGACGTTCCTCCTGTTTCACAAAATATGTACATTTTTTATAACACAGTATGCAATACATATTCTACTAGACTTCGGTCAGGGTGACATTTGAAGGAAAAACTTGATGACGAAGTTTGTAGTTTGTGAGTTTATAAACTTTTTCAATACCTACCTAACCCTATTATGTTTATTTACCTACTTAGTTTACTTTCACAATCCTCGTGCGTGCTAAATTTAATATTATTAGATGAACCAGACAAAGCTAATGCATAAAAATTGCAAACTTTTTATTTACATGCTATAAAATAAATTTACATCTATTTAACTTTTTTACGAGACGCTTACAGAATCATAGATTATACTTTCTTTTACACTGTCTGCTACTTGTTGAGAATACGAACTTTAACTGTAAAAAACTGTCTGTCACATCCTATCCCTTCTTTTCTCTATCCTCTTTAACCCAAAGTCTCCACCATACTTGAAGGAGCGTTTTCAATTTATGCAGTCGGCTCTGGGTCACGAAATGCGGTCGTCAAAAAAACTCCATCTTAATTTTCCTTCTCACACCTCACATTCCTATACGCGATCTTTCACTGTTTAAGCTATCCGTCTATGGAACGCCTTGCCGATGTCTATTCGGCAATCTGAGTCACTTCCTATTTTTAAGAAGGTCTCACTTCCTCACGTTGCTACCTTAATTTCCCTACATCTCTATTCCTTTTAGCTTCTTAAAATTCCTATCTATTTTCTGTTGGCTATCTAGTTCTATTTTTGGTTCGTATCAAGAATTGTATGTGTATGTATATATTATATGCTATATATGTATGTATATATTAATATATTTCATGTATTATTTTTATGTATTAATTTGGGTTAAATTTTACACTTGTGTTTATTATTATTTATTTCATTAGTGTCGACACCGCCTTCCCCTTCATTTGTTTTAAGTAACTGTCCTCTCTATAGGTTGTCTGGAAGAGATCGCTTCATAGCGATAAGACCGCCTAATTGTACCTTATGTGTTCCTTTTCTTTCTATTTCTTTTTATGTGGTGTACAATAAAGAGTATTTATTATTATTATTATTATAAAAGCCAAGTAGATTAAAGAAAGTACCAGGAAAACAGGATAGAGGAGGACTATGTACGATGCCAGATACACGTAGACCGTGAAGCACTGCACGAGCATAATGCCCGAGATCATGGTACGCAGCACGCGCTGCACCGGCAACGACAGCTCTTCTGGCATGGTCATCTGCCATACCTGCCCATGTGAAATATGAGTTAGTAAGACGGCTTCTTACTATTTATGATATTATTATGACGAGTTAAGAATCATTTCAATTATCAGAGTGAATAGGCTAGTTGCCTAAAAAAATTTTTTTAGTCCGTAATGTTTAATATCAAAAAATATTGGACACGTATATTTTTATTTGTCAATCTAACAAATAATTACATAGTTATGGTGCGTTGAAGTTGCGCACGACGTCACAACGTGCGGCATTTTTAAGCAAGCGTTGACGTCACGGGCCTCTTCTTATGAACTTTGGGGCGCTTTATCTCTTTAAATTTTCATTAGTTTGAAAAAGTGAAAAATACGTGTAGAGTATTTTTTGATAAGTTAACTGACGGACTAAATAAAACTCTTGCTTTTTGACCCAGGCAACATCCCCATTATTGACGAATTGTTTTTTGGTAAATTTCTAAAAATCTAAGAATCGGTACAATTGGTAACCGTCCACTTTCGACCTCTGGTTTACTTAATTTGTTGCTGATGACCTCTAGTATAATCCCTTTCAAGGAATAGCTCGAGTTTCCCTGTACCTACTGTGTCCGATGTCATGTAGTGGACTTATTTAAATCAACAACAAATGTGCGTGATCTCAATAGTATCCTTGCGAGTTCAACTCAGAAGAACAATCAATCGATTAATTGACATCGTTTACTATACTCATTCATCGAACATTACAAAAGTACTTGATTGAAGAGTAGATTGTATGGATCTTTCATAAAAACACTTCGGTTATGGCACCTATCATAATACGTTTCAATGCAAGTTTAGGGTTAATTACTGAACTTTTTAGTTTGGTAGAGATAGTATCAAACCAGCATCTTACACAAAATATTCTAGACTTATATAGACAGGCTGTCTTGGAAGACCAAGAGTTTGACTTGCAAAACACATGACTTTATTAGCAAGGAAGCACCTGTTTCAAATTAGCATTGACTTTGAACAGAGTAGCGTCGAATATCGTCCGCACGAGGCCCAGCAGAGTCCACAGGCACACTTCAGACTGTAAACTCATGCCTACATAAGATAGGATATTTATCATGTTTCCTGTTTAATTAAAAATGAAATTTATTTTTTTGCTCGTTTTGACTTCCGGTTGGACATTGCTTTGATTCAATCAACTTAAATTGTTACTTTAACTACATTTTATTGTTTGAAAATATTGTTTGGTTGTTGTTGTGTATTTTTATTGGATTTTATGCCAAGTTTGAAAGCTGTCAATTGACTTATTGTTTTTACATACCTACGTGAAAACAAACGCAAAGAAATTGTTATTTTGTGTTATTCTCATACGTTGCTCTCCTATTCATGATATTTTAATTAAAATATGAAATAAATGAAAATCAGTGCAAAGTGTGGCGCTATCTTGTCCAGTAAATAAGAACAATTATTTAAAACCAACCAAACACAAGCAACTATCTTTATGGGAACAGGCATCATAGTTACTTATATACACTCTATCATTACTACTGCTATGCTTTCAGCGCCTGGCATATTTCTCCAATAAATGTTTTACTACAGCAAGTTTTCTGTGCTGTGTGAAGCGTTTTATTTGTTTGACTATTAGTAAATGTTTGCCGCAGCAGCCATAAGAAAGGTTAGAGCCGTAATCGCACGCGTCATTAGTAGAGTAGCGGAGCCGCGGCCTCCGTCCACACGCCACAGAGGAACGGAGCGATCTCGCCGGCGGACGCTCGGCACGTGTTCTTCAACTAAAGAACCACGCTGTCGTGACAAATAGATGAACTAGCTTACAGTGACCTTTTTGCGACAACTGTTTCCCATTGTGTAGTGCTGTGTTGTGAAAAATAAGTGTGTCTTTTGAGGTAACTATCGAATTTCCTTTCTTTTTTCTTATATTTTCTTCTACTTACCTAGCCGAGGAAAAACTTTATTTACACTATACGAATTTTACGATAGAAAATATAGTCCCGGAGACCTTGGTTCGATTTCGGAATAACATTACGTATATTTGGGTTGCGTCCTTACCTTGAGCGGCATGAGTCGCGGTTTATTTTTGATAATTCTCTAAAGACTCAACATCTCGTCATGTTTATCTTCGATCTGTAAAAGTCATAATTTGCTAATTACTTTCTGCTTTAACATCTTCTTAGATTAGGTGTTTGTATTAATTACGGTATAAAAGTATTTAGCTTTTCACGAGCTTAAGCTCGCTTAAGCGCGGGAAAAGCTGAACTTGTTCGTAATTTTATTCGCATTTCGAAATTTTCAGTTCAGTTGTATCAAAGTTGCAAAGTTTCCTCCTACGAACATTTTATTTGTAAACAAGCCAATATACTTAAATAAATATGTGATTATGTATTCACAAGAAGCTAACAAGGGCGTCCTAAGAAAAGTATGATGTCATTCGCGATATGCAATGCTGTATTTTATTACTTTCTGCGTAGCACAGCTTGTCGGTTACTATTTTTATACGTGTATGTACGAGTACAACAACAACACTGCAGTAAATAAATGTATAATAAGAGTCCATTTAATTTTATCTAACCAATTTTTCTGCTTCAAATAAGCTGTTCACATAGGTAATAAAATTCTTCTTGTTCAATTCCATTCAGTTCAAGTTTTCTGAACAGTCTTTATGTTTTTAGAAAATGCACAAGTAGAAGAGATAAAAACTAATGGGTGTAGCTTAATATGGTTTAGTTAAAAAATCCAAATTATGTGTTAAATCGTCGAACATAGTGTAGGTCGAAGTCATCGCGGGCGTCATGAGCCCACGCACGATTACAATACTCCAGGTGATGCACGATCACATCTCAAGGTTACAAATCGCTAAATAGGTAGTTTATATAGTAATAAAGATAAAACCTTATCATAGAACCTATTTTATTACCTTTCGATAAGATTTTACTTACTGAAACCACAGACTGAAATGGTTGAGAACTACAGAGTGAAAAAGGCGAAAAACAATAACTATCAAAAATGTTAATGTTGGTGAAGAAAATAGTTGAAAGAAGACTATTAAGTATTTTTGTGATTAACCATGATGTATTTACATATTCTACCTGTATGTAGGTATAGCTTGAGTTTGCTTTTATCGTCTTTAATCGAGTTTTTAACCGTTCCCTCCTCTTTCTTATTTTAAACATACTTTATTTATGTTATTTTATGAGTTATCACCGCTTTTATTAAAAAAAAAACCCAAAAAAGGGTTATTCCGTATTCGACCCATGACAACTCAACCCATTTCTTCACTCATCCCAAATTAGTATTCCTAGCTCAACCCATTACATTATTTCGTTATTCTACCCAAATGCATTCCTTACTCAACCCAAAGTAAATATGCCAAAAATAAGTATGGATAGCAAAACAACGTTTACTGTTTTTTCAGAAATTTAATAATGATAAATACATACTAGTATGTACATTGATTTATAATTAAATAAAAAACATCACCTACATGAAAAAATGATAGATATGAATATGTTGATTAACTAAAATAGATCAAAGATTTTATTTTATTTTAAGGTAAATACATAAACAAATTAAGAGGCTGAAAACTTTTACCGCGAGATTAGCTGTCCACATGAATACTTTTATTATTTTTCTTTTGTCATCTTATACTGCTTGAAAAAAAAAGATGAAATACAAATAATACATTTGAAATATTTGTACATTCATGAACAAGCGTCTAGGGAAAAAATTATACGCCATCGCTTGGTTATAATGATTTAATAAAAAATCACAGTCGTTTGATTTATAGTAGATTTTTAGTGGATTTATAGTAGATTCTAATTAGTTATTATTTGATTTGTGTCCTTTTGTGAAAAACGTTTTTTAAATATATTATTGTATCAGAATTTCTGCAGTTTTATTTAATAGAACGATCTTAACACAAAAGTTAACTGAGCTTAAATTTATAAAAAATATTCTGACCGTACATAAAAATCTTATATTTTTTAAGTGGTTTTAAAATTGGTTGAGCTAGGAATGTTTTTGGGGTGAATAAGGAACATAAAATTAAAAAACTGTTGTGGGTAGAGTAAGGAACAAAATTGGGTTGAGTAAGGAAAAGTAATGAGTGGGTTGAGTTGTCGAGGGTCGAATACGGAATAACCCAAAAAAAAGTCAGCGGAAACACGTGTAATAACAGAAGCGATGCGGAATTCCGATCCGATGATAGTTTAAACGCCGATTATAGTTTCCGTAGGGCTCTGTCTTAACTTTTTGTTGATAGATTCCTATGTCATATAAGAAATAAGAAAAAACAATTGGACGACGACTCATTTGTAAATAAGTAACCCTTGTATTGTAGTCAATGTATCATTCGTATTTTCTCATATTTTGTAAATTATAAGCAACGAAGAAATAATTTAAAAAAAAACATAATTCTCCATGAGACTCATCTTCGAATGCATTTCTCGGAATGGTTTCACTATACATATAATTACTAAAAAGCTTAGCTCTTCCATAATCACTATGTCACTATGTACTGTGGTAACGCCAATGAACTTACAAACCGAATTGCTAATTTCAATACAAACTAAATAAATAAACATTAGAATGTGTTTACCTCTACGGCGATTTCTTAGAGTGACATATGAAACGGTTCTGGCCGTGGTGGGCAGTCACAGTGACGAGTACGTGAGGGCACGCCGCGTTCCCGACCATACATGGAATGACTGCATATGGTGGGGCCCACATGCCTAGACCATCGCCCGTTAATTTATCCCCGATCTCCCAAGCTTTCTAACTTCATATGCTGTCGATAACGCTGTATCCGTTAACGACAATGTACACTTGTACAGTTCATGTAAGATCTGCAAAGATCCAAGTTGCAGTTACGATCAAATATCTTCAGCAGATTTGAAAACAAAAGACAAATGCCCAAGAGCATGAAAACTGAAAGCTCGTCAATGTAAGGACACGTGTGTATGACGTGTGTATCGTAACTACTAACTACCAGCGTAATTCTAAGCCCATTCGATTTATTCTCGGCTCCTATTTTCTGTAGCAAGTACTTAGGTAGTTCATAGTTTTTTAACTAATATACATATTACGAACAAAATGTATCGATGTAGTTTAGGCAGCTGCAGTTTGGGAGAAGACAGAGGAAGAAATAAATTAATATGTTTAACTAGCTTGATGTCATCACATTATGCTCCTAATAAGTAGGTAATATAAATGGGACCAAATATGTCTGCTCTATTAGGGTAATAACAATCATACCTCATTCTGTCATCATGTTTTGACCTCCTCGTAAATAAATCATCATGCCATTCATCGATGTGTCAACGTATTTACCGTTGTTGTAAGCTCTAATATGGAGGGGGAATGTAGAGTTTATTGTTACAGATGTTTTGTCACGTAGTATGTATCAATTAGAGCTTTCCCATGACGTCCATTTGACTTGAATTGATGACTTGAACTTTTTTTTGTCAGTTAATTACTGTAATTTTTTCAAGTATTTCAATAATAAAATCTACATTTATCAGCCCAATACAAAATCTAAGAGAAAAATAATCAAGAAATAGTAACTTTCTAAATTCGTCTCAATCCCCCTTAACCAAGCGTTATTGTTTCCAAATTAGTCTTCCTTAACCTTCGATATTTTGTTCAATGAGTATCACCCGATAATGTTATCAGCGGTTAGCTCTCCCTTCATGTTCCTAAATGGACATTGAAAAGAGGTCAATAGTCAGACAAATATTCGACGATGCCTCATTTGAGTAAACAAAGCAGAGTTAACAACGTGAATCTCTCATAGTGATCTAATTATCGCATTCGTTAAAATAGTTAACATTCATCTGCGCTCCCGAAGAAACGGTATCTGAGCGCAGAAATGGAATGTACGCTCAATGAATCATCATTATGTATTCTACTTGTATACTTAAACAGTTTTAAATAGATTAAAAAATAGTGTAACTTAACGATCACCTAGTGGAAAGAAAATCTACAGAAACAGGCACATTTCCTTAGAGTGGATTTACGAGCCCGAACATTCATCAATGATATTTTATCTCCGGTAATCTTCGTATATGGGGTAACCTTGTCTGAGGTAAAAGTGGACATACTGACTGGGGAGTCTCAGATAGTTAGGGTCGATTTGTATGAAGATTTTACCTTTGGGTGGATTTTTTCTGAAAATAAATAGTTAGCAAATCGTTAAAATTGTTTAGCAGTAAAGGACCATTTATGCTAAAACTATGGGATCTAAAGTCCTTTTTAAAAGTTTATCCTTCGTCCCATCCCGTTGGATGACTCGATGGTGAGTAAACTTACAAATAAGCATTAATCATGAGTCACACTTTTGTTGCTCAAGGGATTGATTACACATAACAATATTACCATCAGGGATGACGTCACGGGTGAATAACTTTTAAAATGTAAAAAATCTAATAAGTACCGATCGGCAATTTCAAGATTAATGTTACTTATTTCTCTCATTCACTCCTTTGAAGTCACATTATTTATACTCGAATCATGATTCTTCTTTGTAATCGTATTCGTAAATATATAAACCCACATGTTACATAACAGCCACAAGGTCACCTATACAGGGTGGAATTTAGTAATACCACCTGAAGGGAAAGTACTCTTAATACCTACTGTAGATAGAAAATTTTGCTCAAAGAAAACTTTCCTTTATTTTTGAAAAGAAATAGAACTGCATGAATGTTTTCTTTGATTAAAATTTTCTATCTACAGTATTAAGGGTACTTTCCCTCCAGGTGGCATTACAAAATTCCACCCTGTATACATATACGAGACCACAAATACATAAAGCGGCTTGGGAGATAGGTGTAGCTACAAATTAAACGTTTTCATTGCGAATATTAATAGCGGTCGACCTTGAAGTCTACCAGTGCCAGTGCCACAGTGAGGTCCCCGACCATATAGGGCTCGCTTGAGAATACAGTTTCGCGTAATCTGACATTGACATTGCGGCTGTGATTGCGAACAGTCATAATTGTGATGTCATTCTGTTGTTGTGGTTTGATTCTGACACATGCCTGTGTTGCCTTGCACAGCAGCTTCTTAAGAAAATGACTAAAACGATACAACTCAACCTCGAGGCTACATCACGTATACCTACTGGATTTTAATTAAAACAGATGGTAGGTACAATACTGTAACTTACACACAAAGAACAAAAAGCACATGCATAAAGTGG